AAATACGTAAGTTTTCCTAAATCCTTAGTATGAAATCGATCCTGTAAAAATAATTTTAACTTGGCAATCCCCTCAAAATCATTTCCAGTAATCACAATATCATCGACATAGACCACCAATAGGACATACCCAGCATCTGTCTGCCTATGAAACACAGAATGATCTGTTTGACATCGAAGAAGACCAAACTCTAAAACTGCATCTGAAAACTTACCAAACCATGCCCTCGGTGACTGCTTTAAACCATACAAAGATTTTTTTAACCGACATACACTCTCACTCTTACCATACTCCCCCTGAGCAGTAAACCCAGGTGGCTACTCTATGTAGACCTCTTCAACCAAATCACCATATAAGAAGACATTCTTGACATCTAACTGAAACAAGGACCAATCAAGATTAGCAGCCAAAGATATCAAGATACGAACAGATGAAATTTTGGCAACAAGAGAAAAAGTCTCCTCATAATCAACACCATAAGTCTGAGTAAAGCCTTTTGCAATAAGCCGGGCTTGGAGACGCTCCACAGAACCATCTAGATGAAATTTAACAGTATACACTCAACGACATCCAACAGTTTGTTTACTAGATGGTAAAGGGACGAGATCCTAAGTCCCATTATGATGTAAGGCATCCATCTCCTCCTCCATAGCTTTCCTCCAACCCGGATCAGATAATGCATCCTATAAATGCTTAGGAATAGATATAGCAGATAATTGGGAAGTAAAACAGGAGAAGACAAGTGACAAGGCATCATATGAAATAAAATGAAAAATGGGATGATTAGTAACACACGAACGAGTACCTTTACGAAGAGTAATAGGTAAAGAATCTAAATTACCTGATGTTCCTGGATCAGAAGGTGGCAAGGAAGACTGTACAGGCACTTCAGTCAATGGGCGAGGATGGCGAGAATAGAAACGGAGAGGTAAAGTAGATAGTAACACAGTGGGCAGCGGAATATCTGATGGTGGTACAGGAGAGGAGCCAAAGTCCAGATCCAAAGGCTGAGATGGTGCTGAAAAATATGGAACAGATTCTTCAAATGTGACATTCGCACTAGTAAAATATCGGTGCAGAGAAGGACTGTAACAACGATACCCCTTCTGCGTGCGGGAGTAACCAAGAAAAACATATTTGATAGCGCGAGGATCAAGTTTGTCAAATCCAGGACCCAAATTGTGAACATAACAGACACAACCAAAAACTTTAGGAATAAGGGAAAATAAGCGCTTACTAAGAAACATAACAGAATATAGACTTTGTCCATTTAACACAGAGGAGGGCATACGATTAATAAGATGACAAGTAGTAAGAAAAACATCACTCCAATGATATCGGGGAACATTCATCTGAAATAACAAGGCACGGGTGACTTCCAACAAATGGCGGTTCTTGCGTTCAGCAACACCATTTTGTGGAAAGGTGTAAGCACAAGAAGTCCGATGAATAATGCCAGTTTTACTAAAATAAACTGAAAAAAGATCAGATTCATATTCACGAGTATTATCGGAACGTAAAGTACGTATACGACAACCAAACTGAGTTTTTATTTCTTTACGAAAAGTCTCAAATATAGAGAATAATTCAGACCGAGCTTTCATCAAAAATAACCAAGTCACACGAGAATAGTCATCCACAAATATCACAAAATAAGGATATTTATTAGATGAAATATTATTTATTGGATCCCATATATCAGAATGGACTAATTTAAATGGACTAGACACACAATTATTGACTCTAGACTGAAATGACACACAGTGAGGCTTATTAAGTTGACAAGCTTCACAAGACAAAAACGACACATAACTAAGACTGAGAACTTTGGCGCTTCAGATTCTGGAGAGAAGGATGTCCAAGACGACAATGTCATTGAAAAGGAGACAACGAGGTCTGTAAAGCTCGGGTAGATGAATCAAAGTCAAGGTAATATAGGCCACCAGCTTTATGCCCCGTACCAATATTCCTCTTCGTCTTGAGATCCTAAAAGACACAATAAGAGGAATAAAAAATTACAGAACAGTTGAGAGAACGGGTAATTTTGCTAATGGAAAGTAAACTAAAAGGAAACTGAACAAATAACACAGAAGATAGGGACATATCAGGATTCAAGTAAGTAGTCCCCAGACCTGAAACTTTAGAACAAGTATCATTAGCAAGAGTAACACTACGTGTGGAAGTAGCAGACTGATAAGTAGAGAAAACGTCAGACGCACCAGTCATGTGGTCAGAGGCGCCAGAATCTATGATCCAAGGACTGCGGGTGGAGGACAATAAACAGGTGGAAGCAGTACCTGACTGGGCAAAAGTAGTAGTGGAGGGAGATGAAACAGCTTGTTGCTGGGACAGGAACTGAGCATACTCCTCTCGACCCAGTGTAATAGTAACTGACCCAGTGTTTGGTGGAGCTGACCTAGGTATGAAAGCAACAACAGAGGTGTCATCCTAATAAGAAGCCTGATTAGCAGTACTAGAAGGTTTTCCATGTAAATCCCAATAGAAATCAACAGTGTCCTCCACGTCCACAGTGAGTACAGGAACGGGATCCACTACGACCACCCGTACGACCACCACATCCACCTCGATGACCATCACTATGGCTATTAGGAACTACAAGAGCTGAGCGATCAGTGGAGACACCATGATCAATGACTGAAGGAGTAGACAGTGTAGCACGCTGTAAACGAGAGAAAACCTCCAGCAGTGATGGAAGACTAGATCCACCCAAAATCTGATAACGAATAGCCTCATATTCAAGTTTCAATCCTACCAAAAAATGAACAACATTTAGGTCCTCATGTTGCTTTTGTCAAACTGCTGCATCAGTAGTAAACGGATGGTAAGTTTTCATCTCCTCACAGACTCCCCGAACATGAGAGTAATAATCCGCAAGGCTCAGAGTACTCTACTCCAACCGGAAGTACTCCTCGCACACCTCATACACACGAGTAAAATTACCTGTACCAGAATACATAGTGGCCAAGTGATCCCATATCCCTTTGGTAGTATCAAGATAGAGCAGAGAAGAGCTAATACTGGGCTCTATGTTATTCAACAATAAAAAAATAATCTGAGCATCCTCTGTTCCCACTGATCATACCCAGGACTGTCCTCCTTGGGTTTAGAACCCACCAGATATTTCTTAAATCCTTTGCCTCGAAGAAAGACTTGAACAGATCGGGACCATAAAATATAATTAGTCTCATTGAGTTTGACAGAAGTCATGGGACCATTGATAAGAGTAGGAGGAGGCAACATGGGATTTTTGGGTTCCATAATAATGCAGCAAATAGCAAATAGCAAATAACAAATAAGAAGTGTTGCAGGACTGAAAGGAGCTCCTGGACCGAACCGGATAGGGGCTCTGGACTGCTGAACCAGATTGAAAAGAGCTCCTGGACTGCTGAACTGGACCGGATTGGGGCTCAGGACTGCTGAACCGGACCGGACAGAGGCTCTAGACCGCTGAACCGGACCGGACAGAGGCTTTTGACCACTGAACTGGACCGGACAGAGGCTTTGGACCGTTGAACCGGGTGCGCTGGGCCGAATCTTGGGTTGAACTTAAAATAATGGGCTGGGCTTGACCCGATTTGATCCAACCCGTTGGAACTATTTCTTCTTCGTTAAAATTAGGGTAACAAAATAGCCTGGCCTGTCTGGTCTTTGACGGCGTAACACACTACACCACCACAGCACCACAACGACAGTGGCTAGCCTGCCTGGTCTTCGACGGCGTCACACACTACACCACAGCAGCACCACAACGACCACCACGCGTGTTCCAAGAGGCCTGGTCTTCGACGACGTCACACACCACACCACCACTAATCACTACCCGCAAAAGCCACACCACCACAACACCACCGTAGAAGCCACCACACCACCACAATGTCTGAACTTCGACAGTGACACCCCATCAGTAACACCACCAACCAAGATAATTTTTTCAACACAAATTCACACTAAAATTTGTATTTAGGATCGCAATGCTCTGATACCATGTTAAGTTTGGAAGATTAACATCATGATATTAGAGACAATATTTTGGGAGAAACAGTGAGAGGTGAGGTTAAGAACTTAACCTAGCTCTCATACATAACTTGTATTTATAGTTAACTTACAATAATAATAATAATAACACATACATCCTCTTACTATTAACAATTTACACATACTACTCTATTATTCTTAACACTCCCCCTCAAGCTGGACNATAATAACACATACATCCTCTTACTATTAACAATTTACACATACTACTCTATTATTCTTAACAAAAATGAACAAACCATGGAACTCTTTAATAAATTCACTTTTTTTCCCGAAGCAGCTTCATACCTCGAAATAAAAGAAAGCAAGTTAACCATCGAATGCTTATCTCCTCTCAAAAACACCAATGTGTCATTAGCAAACAACAAATGACTTCGCATTATAGCTCCTCGTCCTGTATGAAAATGCTTAACAAGACCCCTCTAATACAATTCTCTTATTCCCCTACTCATAACTTCCTCCGCTAAGATAAATAGACTCAGAGATAGTGGATCTCCTTCCCTCACTCGCCTTGTTGTATTGAAAAAACCATATCTTTGTCCATTCAAAACCAAAGTAGCATGCTGATTTTGCAAACAGTTTGATATAATAGAAACAAAAAGCTCCGAAAAGCCAAAAGCAGATAGAGTTCTCTTTAAAAAATCCCATTCCAACCTATCAAAGGCCTTCATCATATCAAGCTTCAGAATAACATTACCTCCATCAAATTTCCTATTCAGGTCATCCACCATAAATTGAGCCATGGAAATACAATCACTTATACTCCTTCCTTTCACAAAGCCATGTTGCTCTTCCGACATTATGACCCTAAACCCGGAAACCCTAAACCCCTAAATCCTTTTTTTTTTTTTTTTTGGGAAGGAGAAATAATATTGCTAAAAGCCATGATTACAAGAAGCAAAAGAGGCAAAGCTTTAACAAAAAAGAAAAAGTTAAAGTTGGCTTTAATCCTTCAAAATAAAAAACAAAAAACATTCTGCATAGGGCAAAAGATGCCCAGCAAACACAATAGGAACCCACATCTGCCACAACATAGATTCCCAAAAATCATGGACCAGCTGAGGGGCACAAAAGGCCTTGAAAACCAGCTGAAATCCAGCTGAAAACCAACTGAAAAACAAGCTGAAAACCAGCTGAAGACCAGCAGCAGAATCCAGCAGGAAACTGGCAAGAGCAGCTGAAAGAGACCAGCTATGCAGCAGCCACTGTTCACTTGAACAGTGCATAACATCCCAAAACTGAACCAGCAGAAAATGCCCAAGAAACGTGAACAATGCAGAAGCCAGCTGAGAAACTGCAAGAGAAGAGAAGCAACAGCTAACAGTGCACGTGAACAGTGACACCAGACCAAAACAGAAAGCAAACAGCTGAAAGACCACCGCAACAGCAAAAAGGTGCTGCCAAGAAACCCAAGCTGGAACAACAGCTGAAATAGCCCAAGTAGCATGATCAGTGACAGCCCAAGAGCACCTGAGCAGTCCAAGTGACGTGAGCAGGTCCATCCAAAGCAAAATCCCCAGAACGCGTAAAGGATCCATATTATAAACAAAAAGAATCAAGAAATAGCCCATGTATCCTTGCCATTTTTACACCATGTTGAACCAGCACCATTAAAAGCCACCAGCTGAATGACACCAAAAGCGTGACCCCCAGCTGAAAACCAGTTGAGAATCCAGCTGGAAAAAGTTAAAACCAGCTGAAAGTTCAGCTAATCCAGCACAGCAACATCAATGAAAAACCAGCTACAAATAGGGCCAAAAGGCAGCAGAAAGCAGACTGTTCACGTGAACAGTGGCGTGAACAGTAAAAAGCCAGCAGAAACCCCCAGCAGCTGATTGGCGAAAAGGAGAACAAGAAATCCAGCTGAAAACCAGCTTAAACGCCATCTGAATGGCCAAGAAGAACCAGCTGGAAAGCCATTCAAGCCCCAGCATTCAAGCAAGACAGATATTACCCCATGGACAAAAACCTGCTGAACATGCCCGGAGATATGAACAATGACCTCCATAGAAAAACCCCCAGCAGAAAATGGAGCCATAGAATAAGCCATTCGAATTAGAAGAAAGCCCACTTAGTTCTTGCCGTTTTAACGCCTTTTTTATCCTGCAGAAGAATTAAGGTGCCTTGGAGAGGGATCCTCAAGTTTTGGGAGAAATCAGTGGAGGAACCATCCTTTACCGCTAAGTTTGCAAAGAAATCAGCCAAGTAACTCGCATCCCTATACACATGAACAAAGGAGAAATTAATTTTCTCCAATATGCCCATGATCTCATCACAAAGGCCCCAAAACTTCTAAGCCCTCATGTGCCCCTTCATCACCATTTGAACCATCACAGCCGAGTCAGCCTCGATTTGAAGGTTGTAACCAAGCAGGCCATAGCGTTCAAACAATAATAATCCATCCTTCAATGCGCGAAGCTCAGCCTCCATGTTCGAGCATACATCATAGAAGAAAGAAGCAGCCAACACTAAATTACCCCACTCGTTTCTTACCATGGCGCCTCCGCCGGCCCTTCCAGGATTGCCCATGGACGCCCCGTCCACGTTCAGCTTTAAGGAACCAAAAGTAGGGGGCAACCAGTTAATCCAAAGTACCTTTGGCATCAGCTCATGCCTCTCTTCCACCTTTAAGGCCCTCAAAAATTCCTTTCCCTTCAATCTCTCTATTGCCTTGGGTTTAATATGCTGAGCTTGCAGTCTTAAGGCAGAGCAGATGTTCAAAAAAACAGCGTGAGCATACAAGGAGCTCTCATCAATGCCAATGTTTAAATGAGCCACAGGAGAGGCTACAATGGCAAGACCGATAGCAACAACAGGCAGATTGATCTCTGCACAATGTCATCACTGGTTAAGTTTGAAGCATTAGTGTTACCCAAGAATGTAATAAAAAATTCCACTTGTATTGATAGATTACCAAGCATATTAACTTACCCCTTCATTACCCAACAAAAAAAAAAAAAATTAACATTTTGGTCTGGATGATTGTAGCAGCAAGTGGCACCACACTTGCAACTGATATACCAAAAAAGAAAGTAGAGAACAATGATAATTCTTGATCAGATGTAATTACACAACACACACACGCACACATAGAGAGATTCCATTTCTTCGTAAATGGGGATGAACTGACCTGCCAGTCTTCAGGTAGAATGGACAATCCTTCATAAGCAAACATCCATTCCACAAACAACTGAAATCAAAACACAAAAAAGATTTATTATGTACATAAATATGAAAATCGAAAGAACAACAAAAACCAATAAGAGAAGAATGATGAAGAGGTGGAGCAAAGGAAGCAAAAGAATAATAAACCCAAATTCCTAACCCCTAAACCTTAACTCTTAGCCCTTATACCCGTAACCCCCTACCCCTAACCTCTAACACCTAAACCCCTAAACCTTAACTCAAAACCCCAAAAGCCTAAAGCTCCGAGCCCTAAGGCCTAAACCCTCTTTGAATTCTATGTTCAATTAGTATCTCTTCCACACGCTACAAACCCTTAATGTTCTTCCATACTTTAACCATTTGCCCTCTCTCCAAATAATTCAACTTTATTTCCAACATTTAACAATTTTAATAGAAATATAATAAAAAAAAAAAACAAAACATAATTTCTAAAATAGAAAAGTCAACAAAACACATATAATCAAAGAAATCTAATGTAATAATAGGTTGTGTAAAAACAAGAAAACAACAACAAAAAATGAAAAGAAAGTTGTTGGGGGATAAAAATCATTGAAAGAATTATCAAAACAAATAAAACACACAAAAACAAGTAGAAATAATCATGTGTAAAACACATTATACATATAAAAGAAAGTCAATGGATTTAGGACGAATAAATATAGTTATTTTTTTAATCATAAACTCGCTTTGCAAGCTAATCTCCTTCAACTCTTCTTAATCCCTCAAAAGCAAACTTCCATTCCACAAACAACTGAAATCAAAATACAAAATAGATTTGTTACGCACATAAATATGAAAATTTAAAGAACAAAAAATAATAAGAGAAAAAAATAGGAGAAGAATGATGAGGAAATAGAGCAAATGAAGCAAAAGAATAATAAACCCAAATTCCAAACCCCTAAACCTCTAAACCTTAACTCTTAGCCCTTATCCCTGTAACCCCCTACGCCAAACCTCTAACACCTAAACCCCTAAACCCTAACCCAAAACCCCACAAGCCCTCAGCTCCAAGCCCTAAGACCTAAATCATCTTTGAATTCTATTTTTTATTAGTATCTTCTACACGCTACAAACTCTTAATGTTCTTCTATACTTTAACCTTTTGCTCTCTCTCCAAATAATTCAACTTTGTTTCCAACATTTAACAATTTTAATTGAAATATATTAAAAAAAGAAACAAAACATAATTTCTAAAATAGAAAAGTCAACAAAATACATATAATCAAAGAAATTTGATGCAATAATAGGTTGTGTAAAAATAAGAAAACAACAACGAAAAAAGAAAAGAAAATTGTAGGAGATTTGGGGGATAAAAATCATAGAAGGAATTATCATAACAAATAAGACACACAAAAACAAGTAAAAATAATCATGTGTAAAACATATTTTACATATAAAAGAAAGTCAAAAGATCTAGGACGAATAGATATATTTATCTTTTCAATCATAAACTCGCTCTGCAAACTTATTTCGTTCAACTCTTCTTAATCCTTCATAAACAAACATCCATTCTACAAACAACTGAAATCAAAATACAAAATAGATTTGTTACGCACATAAATATGAAAATCAAAAGAACAACAAAAGCCAATAAGAGAAAAAAATAAGAGAAGAATGATGAGGAGGTGGAGCAAAGGAAGTAAAAGAATAATAAACCCAAAATTCACAACCCCTAAACCTTAACTCTAAGCCCTTATCCCCGTAACCCCTTACCCCTAACCTCTAACACCTAAACCCCTAAACCTTAACCCAAAACCCCAAAGCTCCGAGCCCTAAGGCCTAAACCCTCTTTGAATTCTCTGTTCAATTAGTATCTTCCACATGCTACAAACCCTTGATGGTCTTTCAAGCTTTAACCTTTTGCTCTCTCTCCAAATAATTCAACTTTGTTTCCAACATTTAACAATTTTAAATGAAATATTAAAAAAAAAAAAACAAAACATAATTTCTAAAATAGAAAAGTCAACAAAACACATATAAACACAGAAATCTGATGCAATAATAGGTTGTGTAAAAACAAGAAAACAACAATGAAAAATGAAAAGAAAGTTGTTGGGGATAAAAATCATTGAAAGAATTATCATAACAAATAAGACACAGAAAAACAAGTAGATATAGTCATGTATAAAACACATTTTACGTATAAAAGAAAGCCAATGGATCTAGGACGAATAAATATACTTATATTTTCAATCATAAACTCGCTTTGCAAGCTTATCTCTTTCAACTCTTCTTAATCCTTCAAAAGTAAACATCCATTCCATAAACAACTGAAATCAAAATACAAAATAGTTTTGTTACGCACATAAATATGAAAATCAAAAGAACAACAAAAGCCAATAAGAGAAAAAAATAAGAGAAGAATGATGAGGAGGTGGAACAAAGAAGTAAAAGAATAATAAACCCAAAATTCATAACCCCCAAACCTTAACCCAAAACCCCAAAGCTCCAAGCCCTAAGGCCTAAACCCTCTTTGAATTCTCTGTTCAATTAGAATCTTCCACATACTACAAACCCTTGATGTTCTTCCAAGCTTTAACCTTTTGCTCTCTCTCCAAATAATTCAACTTTGTTTCCAACATTTAACAATTTTAAATGAAATATTAAAAAAAAAAAAACAAAACATAATTTCTAAAATAGAAAAGTCAACAAAACACATATAATCACAGAAATCTGATGCAATAATAGGTTGTGTAAAAACAAGAAAACAATAGTGAAAAATGAAAAGAAAGTTGTTGGGGATTTGGGGGGTAAAAATCATTGAAAGAATTATCATAACAAATAAGACACAGAAAAACAAGTAGAAATAGTCACGTGTAAAACACATTTTACGTATAAAAGAAAGTCAATAGATCTAGGACAAATAAATATACTTATCTTTTCAATCATAAACTTGGTTTGCAAGCTTATCACTTTCAACTCTTCTTAATCCTTCAAAAACAAACATTCATTCCACAAACAACTGAAATCAAAATACAAAATATATTTGTTACGCACATAAATATGAAAATCTAAAGAACAAAAAAAAATAATAAGAGAAAAAAATAGGAGAAGAATGACGAGGAGGTGAAGCAAAAGAATCAAAAAAATAATAAACCCAAATCCCTAATCCTAAACCTCTAAACCTTAACTCTTAACCCTTATCCTCGTAACCCCCTACCCCTAACCTCTAACACCTAAACCCCTAAACATTAACCCAAAACCCCAGAAGCCCTAAGCTCTAAGCCCCAAGCCCCAAGGCCTAAACCATCTTTGAATTCTTTTTTTTATTAGTATCTTCTACACGGTACAAACTCTTAATGTTCTTCCAAACTTTAACCTTTTGCTCTCTCTCCAAATAATTCAACTTTATTTCTAATATTTAACAATTTTAATAGAAAAATAATAAAATAAGAAAGAAAACATAATTTTTAAAATAAAAAAGTCAACAAAACACATATAATCAAATAAATTCGACGCAGTAATAGGTTGTGTAAAAACAAGAAAACAACAACGAAAAATGAAAAGAAAATTGTAGGAGATTTGGGGGATGAAAATCATAGAAAGAATTATCACAACAAATAGGACACACAAAAATAAGTAGAAATAGTCATGTGTAAAACTTATTTTACATATACAAGAAAGCCAATAGATCTAGGACAAATAGATATACTTATCTTTTCAATTATAAACTCGCTTTGCAAACTTATCTCGTTCAATTCTTCTTAATCCTATATAAGCAAATATCTATTCCACAAACAACTGAAATAAAAACAAAAAATAGATTTGTTACGCACATATATATGAAAATTTAAAAAACAACAAAAACCAATAAGATAAAAAAGTAGGAGAAGAATGATGAAGAGATGGAACAAAAGAAGCAAAAAGCAATAAACCGAAATCCCTAGACCTTAAACCTCTAAATCTTAACTCTTAGCCCATATCCCCGTAACCCCCTACCCCTAACCTCTAACACCTAAACCCCTAAACCTTACCCCAAAACCCCAAAAGCTCCAAGCCATAAGGCCCAAACCCTCTTTGTTTTTTATACTCAATTAGTATCTTCTAAACTCTACAAACTCTTAATGTTCTTCCAAGCTTTAACCTTTTGCTCTGTCTCCAAATAGTTCAACTTTGTTTCCAACATTTAATAATTTTAATAGAAATATAATAAAAAAAAGAAACAAAACATAATTTCCAAAATAGAAAAGTCAACAAAACACATATAATCAAAGAAATCCGATGCAATAATAAGTTTTGTAAAAACATGAAAGAATTATCATAACAAATAAGATACACAAAATAAGTAGAAATAGTCATGTGTAAAACACATTTTACATATAAAAGAGAGTCAATGGATCTTGGACGAATAGATATACTTATCTTTTCAATCATAAACTCGCCTCGCAAACTTACCTCGTTCAACTCTTCTTAATCCTTCAAAAGCAAACATCTATTCCACAAACAATTGAAATTAAAGTAAAAAAATAGAAAAAAATATGAAAATCTAAAGAACAACAAAAAATAATAAGAGAAAAAAATAGGAGAAGAATGATGAGGAGGTGAAGAAAAAGAACAATAAATCCAAATCCCTAACCCCTAAACCTTAACTCTTAACCCTTATCCCCGTAACACCCTACCCCTAACCTCTTAACACCTAAACCCCTAAACCTTAACCTTTTTTGAATTCTATGTTCTATTAGTATCTTCTACACGCTACAAACTCTTAATGTTCTTCCATGCTTTAACCTTTTGC